TTTATGTAGTGTTGTTACTAGTAAAGTGGTAGGTTGTGTGTGTGTGTGTGTGTGTGTGTGTGCAAATCAAATATAATTAAAAAAATCAAATAACATAAATAATTTACAAACAAATATGCACTGTAACTTAAAAGCAATTGATTAAGAAATAAAATAAAATTGCACCATGTTAACATATGCGGTTTCTTGCAGTGTAATTCCGTACTTCTATCCATTCATTCATTCATTTATTTAAACAAATTGATTTCATGGAGAAAAAAAAATTCTATAATCGTTGATGGTGTCCTCTAATCCTCTATTCTCTATTTACAGCCTTATTTACAGCAGTGATTTGCGACTGTGATGCCCCTTCTGAATGTACGTGCTGTTTATCAGCAGTTCTGCTTGTAAAATATTTGTGTTTACTTGGTATTTTTATATTTCGTTCTCTAATCCGCTGGGTTTTTCCTGAGGAGCTGCAGTGCTGAGATCGATTTAGGGGGCGGGGTCTCCGGGGCAGAGGGGCGTGGTCAGGGGCGAAGGGAGGGGAGTGTGAGATCCTGAGGGTTTAAAAGCCACAGTTTGTCCAGCTGAAAGCACATTCTGACCTGAACACTTCACAAGCTGACTTCTCTGTGATCATTACTTTAGATGCTTTAAACACAGAAAGATCCTCGGAGGAATGAATGCCATGGACAACATGACTGCTGACTACAGCCAAGATGACTACGACGAGACAGTAAACAACTCAATGTGTGATTTTGACGAGTGGGAACCGTCATATTCGCTGATTCCTGTGCTCTACATGCTCATCTTCATCCTGGGCCTCACTGGGAACGGTGTGGTCATCTTCACCGTATGGCGGGCTCAGTCCAAGCGGAGAGCTGCAGACATCTACATTGGAAACCTGGCTCTTGCTGACCTGACCTTTGTGGTGACCCTGCCACTGTGGGCTGTCTACACCGCCCTGGGATACCACTGGCCCTTTGGCATGGCCCTCTGCAAGATCAGCAGCTATGTGGTGTTGCTCAACATGTACGCCAGTGTCTTCTGCCTCACCTGCCTGAGCCTGGACCGCTACATGGCCATTGTTCACTCCCTCACCAGCACACAGCTGCGGACCAGAGGACACATGCGGGCCTCGCTGGCCTCCATCTGGCTCCTCTCAGGTGTGCTGGCTGCACCGACGCTGCTGTTTCGCACCACGGTGCTCGACGCCATGACCAACCGCACCTCCTGCGCCATGGACTTCAGCCTGGTGGTGAGCAAACCGGGCCAGGAGATCTTTTGGATCGCCGGCCTCAGCATCTCCTCCACTGCTCTCGGCTTTCTGATCCCCCTTCTGGCCATGATGGTGTGCTACGGATTCATCGGCTGCACCGTCACACGTCACTTCAACAGCCTGCGCAAGGAGGACCAGCGCAAGCGTCGCCTGCTCAAGATCATCACCACATTGGTGGTGGTGTTTGCTGCCTGCTGGATGCCCTTTCACGTCTTGAAGACCATGGATGCCCTTTCGTACCTGAACCTTGCTCCTGACTCCTGCACCTTCCTGAAACTCCTTCTTCTGGCTCATCCCTACGCAACCTGCCTGGCGTACGTCAACAGCTGCCTCAACCCACTCCTCTACGCCTTCTTCGACCTCCGCTTCCGCTCCCAGTGCCTCTGCCTCCTCAACCTGAAGAAAGCCCTTCACGCCAGTCCTGCCAGCTCCCTTTCTTCACAGAAGACCGAGGCCCAGTCGCTAGCTACTAAGGTGTGAGGAGGTGGATGGAAGGGTGATGCAAACAAGTCAACAACTGTTACATCCTTCACAAGAACTCAATTGTTGGGGACAAGCAGACTTTCTTTTTGTATCTGACTGTGGGAACTTGAGGAACCAGCTTCCCCTGTCCCGGGACTAAACACGGGTACTCTGTGAACCGTTCTGGTTCTGAAGAACTTGATGCAGTCTGTTTGTCCTGGAGACCACAAGCAGACCGGAGCAGACCCCCACTGACAGCTGCGCTCCAGACGTGTGGGACAGATTTGGGGAGAACGAGCGAGGGCTTTTCTGCTTTTCTCTTAGTTGCCTCTGGAGTTTCATAGACTTACATGGAGCTGCAGGGTGGTGGGTGGTCCACGGAGGGGTTCGAGAGCAATTTATGGACTCTGTACTTTTGAAACTGTATTAGTGCATTTAACCGTGCTCTTTACCATCTTGTTTTTCTCGGTTGCTTGTTTAATTTTTTGTCCTTTAAGCACTTGCTCATAAGGGGCAGAGATAAGAACGGTGTCCAGTCTGTCTTATCTAAACCATCAAGATAGGGTGGGAGGGATGGGTGCCTTACTTGAGAAGAATTGTTGCAGCTTGATTAAAGACTTTCGAGGGGGAGGTGGGTGAGACGAAAACATGGAGGGGGTGAACTCAGACAGACAGATGGCAGTTGACAAATGTTGTCGGGGAAAGGGACGTCCGATTAATAGGTGACAGCTTCGACAGATGAGATACTGTGCGTGTAAGTGTGAGCTAATGGAATGTGTGCCAGTGAATTTTTTATTTTGACATAACCTTGTGGGAAAAAAACTGCTGTATGATGCTTTTATGCAGTACTCTATGAATAAAACCTGTATAACGAATTTCTTGTTTGTGCCTCATCCGTTAAAACTCATGGATTCAACTGGAATGTTTGTAACGTTCCATCATGTGTGGTGTTTTCCTGTTAAACGCGGGAATGAGGGTAGTTGCTTTGTCCCTTATTGTCCTCAAGTCAGTTCAAAATCAAAGCAAGTGACTGACAGGAAATGCATGTTTAAAGCTGATTTCCTTGCGTTTCTTGTTTTGTACTTTTTGTACGTCTATGTTGCATACTCAGACTCAACACTAAGGAGCAATTCATTGAGAGTATGCATGTATAAAAAAAGATCATGATCTAAAATATTAACCCCTTTGATGCCAAGTAATAAGCCTTTCAATAAATATCTTCACATATTTGGTCATTTTAAAAACCATTTCAATTAACCATTTATATAAGTTTTCCATTTTGGTTGTATTTATTTAATGCATTTAATTACTTGAATATATGAGTCATCCTTTTGGTATTTTGCCAAAAAAAAAAGAAAAGAAATGCCTACTCTGCATATGGAGGGTCATCAGCCCCTAAACAGACCTCTGATGATTAAGCTCCCTAATAAGCTTTGGTCAGGATATAATTATTGTCAGAGAGACTGTGCTAATCTGAAGTAATTAGTGGGACTGATGTCTTCAGCATAGATTAATATCTTCATAATAAAAGGTATGGTTATTATCAATAACATAAACAACAGAGATAAATCCAGTATGTGCATCAAGATTCAATTTAAACCACAAAAGTTGAAAACAATGAGTTCAGAACTTTATTTGCGTATATATTTACCACTTATGTAATAGTTAGAAACACAATAAAAGACAAAAAATAAAATAAAAGCATAAAAAATGAAAACATTACTTTTGAATTAAAATGTAAAAATCATTCATTTGTAAAGACATCTCATTATTTGTGTTACATTCCTCACTCTGGATAAAATGTATCTGCTAAATGAATAAATGTAAATGTAAGAAAACACTAACAGGCAGTTGATGAACAAGTGAATTACATCTAATCTGAAGATTACCACATAATCGATATTAAATAGCAGACAGACTGAACACACTACAGTACAGAGATTATGAGGCGGGCAAAACACATGTCTGTTGAGTGGAAACAAAAAGCAGAAACAAGAGGGAGGGACTTTAAGATAGTAGAGGAAAATGGAAAAAATAGAGGGTGTTTCTTTTATATAAATGGCCCGTAGAGACAGCACAAGTGTGTTTTGTGTGTGCAGTTGCTAGTGTGTGTGTGTGGGCTAGTGACCACCTTTGTGTTTATTTTGGTTTGTTTATTTGTTTCCCGTCAGGGCTGTGAAGTGAACCATGGGTAACAGAATACAGGAAACTGTTGCCTGTCTTAGATGCCCAGTGAATTAAATATTTCCTAACAGTAGAATGTGAGCTTGTATGGATGAATGATTCAATAAGGAATGTGTAAGTGGAAGAACAACACTAGAACAGGGTCATGTGAAGCTGCTGCATGTTTCTGGTGTCTGCTGCAAACATGTTCCATATTTCTCTGCTAACAGCTGCGGTATGTGGGCACAGATCTAATGTTGGGCTCAGTATTGCCCGCAGGTGTCAAATTATACCTTGGGGTTTCAAAGAAAATCTGGACGATAATTCCAGGGACATTTTCAAAGATGCTGTAAAGATTTAGAACAGTAATTTAATCTCCCTGATAAATGTGAATTTCATGGTGTGAAAATGCATGTGTTAAATGAGCTGCTTCCTGTGCTTTAAAGCGAAACATATATATGGTAGAAGAGGGAAACCTGACGGTGTCAAGTCAAACAAAGGGAACATGAAATCAAACATCAAAAATCTTTTGTAACTCACTCCACTTAAAAAAGTTAATCGCTACACCTTTAGAACACCCCTTTGTTGCCTAAGTTACATTCCTTATTCCTTATCTTGACATTCTGCTGTCTTGTGCTTCACAATGTGTGTTTGTAATAAAAAATTCATCAAGACGTTTTAACTTCTTCGTCTTCTTTCGTCTTCCTCTAGTGATTGTTGCAACCTAGAACTATCCCTGTAATATACTCAGAGAATGAGGAAGCATTTGTGAAGCTTTGTAAATACCTTGGAACAAATCAATGTTCTGTTTATTTGAGCATCGTCTCAACGAATAACATGAGTTTTGGTGGCAGAGCAGTTTGGAAGACAGGGGCAACTGTTTGAGGAAACATGTTTGAAAACAATAATTTCTGTAAATCCATCGAGTGACACTAATGGTACAGAAATCACACACTTTTGTATTAGAGAAAAGACAGAAAACGATGAGATGATTGCTTGACCTACATCTATGTTTCGTGTTACCTCTCCCCCTTTCCTTTCCTGCCAGCTTTAATGTCACATGATTCACACATTGTCCACCAACGCTTTCAATTTGATTGTAGTTCCATGAAATGCAAAGCCGTGCAACCTAAACAATCTGAAACCAGACAGCGTACACACATTATATTACACAACATTTATAGATCAGAGATAACTGAGATTATATGTGATAATGAGGACTGAGACTATGGAAATGGACAGAGGAGAACGAGTGGAGATGATGGTGGCTATCTATGACAGTGCAGATACTGTGAGACATCATGATCTCAGGACTCACGCAGAGAGACGACAACCACTTCAACACACAGGTAATGTAATTTATCAGTTTTGGCTCATTTTTGTAAACATTCTTTAAACTGCTCACTCTTAAAAAATAAAGGCTCCAAAAGGGGGTTTCCACAGCGATGCTATTGAGAACCATTTTAGGTTCTTCAAAGAACCTTTCAGTGAACAGTTTTTAAAAGAACCCTATTTCACACCTAGAGTGAAGAAGAGTTCAATAATATAAAGAACATGTTGTCCATTCCATGGATGTTAAAGGTTCTTCAGTGAAGATAAATATTCTGAGGAATCTTTTTCCATTATATCTTTAGTGGAATAGAAAGATTTCATGGATGTTACAATTTTTTCATGTCACTTTACTGGCATTTTCATTAACTATAGACGCCAATAAAGTACCTTTTTAACCTATTTTTAAGAGTGTAAGTGCAAATGTCTGCAAAATCTAATAATAACTCATTCAAAACCTTTAATTCATATTTCAAAGCCTAGTCATAAAATTTGTGTCAGTAAATTTGCCAATACCACCAAAATAAGATTTTTTTTTATCAGTGTTATAAGATTGTATTTGATTATTTTAGCTATTTAGATATTTCAACAGAAGGTAAAAATTGACTGCTAAAAATGAATACTGTAGTACACAGTAGAACATTTATATTATCATTTGTAAGTAAACAGTACATTTTTGTAGAAATGTATTACATATAAAATTCATGTATCAAATTTTGTAACTCAAAAATGTAGAGCTCTCAGACCCTCCATAGACAGCAACACAGGTTTCTGGACCTGGGAACATTGCAGTTGTGTTGCTGTCTACTGAGGGTCAGAGAGCTCTCAGATTTCATCAAAAATATCTTAATTTGTGTTCCGAAGATGAACTAAGGTGTTACGGGTTTGGAATGACACGAGGGTGAGTAATTAATGACACAATTTTCATTTTTGGATGAACTAACCCTTTAACCTCATGTTTGTTGTCCACAGGAAGTGTCTCAGTGAAGAACAGAAAGCACAGAGCAGCTGAAGTGTGTTTGTGTCTGCTGTGTTTTCTTCTGCTGATTGCTGTAATAGTGCTGTGTGTGTGTTTCACCTCCGAGAGAAAGCAGTTATTAACTCACATCAGTAACCTGACTGAAGAAAGAGAGAAGACACTTACCAAACATGAGCAGGTACTGTACAATAACAATAACCTGACTGAAGAACGCAAGCAAATACTTTCTAAATATGAGCAGATACTGAACCACAATAATAAATTGACTAAAGAAAGAGAGCAGATATTTACAAATAATATAAAATTAATAGCAGAGAAAGAACATTTACTGAAGGAGAACAAAATTATGACTGAAGAAAGAGAGCAGATAAAAAAGACCGGTGAACTCCAACAAGGACTTTTGGAACAAGGTAGTTCTGTGCTCATTCAAAATATTTCACCTAATTTAAATAAGTGTTGACTTAAACATCAAGTGAGAATACTGCATATGAACAAAGCTAACCTGTCTAAACTAATATCTAAACCATTCTATTAACAGATCAGCAAGAGGATCCCTTCAAATGGATTTACTACAACTTCAGTTTTTATTATATTTCATCTGAGAAGAAGAGCTGGAGTGACAGCAGCAGAGACTGTCAACAGAAAGGAGCAGATCTGGTGATCATAAACAGTTCAAAGGAACAAGTAAGTGATAAAGAAAACAGATTTTTAACTAGTAATGGTTGGTCTGTTTTTAAACATTTGAGATGTTTATGGATTATTGTTCTTTTCAAAACAGGATTTTGTACAAAAGATTGCCGTTTCTGATCATTTTTGGATTGGTTTGGGAAAGATGGAGGGAGAATGGAAATGGATTGGTGGCACCATAATGGCAAATGGGTGAGAGAGCACTGAATTTAACTGATCATAAGCCTGAAACCTTCTCTACAGTCAGTATCATGTAGTATTCAGAACTGACTGAAGTCTACTGAAAATAAAAGAATCTGCTTCATTGTTGTTTCAGGTACTGGAGTTCTCAGTATCTGCATTCATATGGTTCATACTGTGCTCTGATTACTTCATCAGGTTGGATAGATGATAAATGTGATTATAATAAAAAATGGATCTGCAAGAGAAGAATTTTAACATAGCTCATTACGTAAAAAATAAATATGTACATGCAGTAAAATAAACCCATCGTGTTTTGGAAAAAAAGTCACTCTGATTTGTGATTCTAACTCTATTATTGTACAGTACAGTAAGTCATTTTGAAATATGACTTATGACATTTGATATATATATATATATATATATATAATGTTATATATCTAAATGCTATATATCTAAATAATTATAGAGATCAACTCCATTAAGGTCTCTGGATATTGGTCATGAGAAAGTGTCAGTGGTCTGGTGTCTTACTTTGAAGAGGGTCTTTTAAGCAGTTTTTCCTCCCTGCTGGTCATATCAACAGCAATCAAAGCCAGCAGACAGACTGATAGTCCCTCATTCTGCTCTGTGACTCTAGTGATAGATGGATCACTGCTGATGTGTATTTGTCTTTCCTCATCAAGGCCTCAGACTCTTAACCACTACAATTCAATTACAGAAGCTTTCATCTACTTCATTTTCCAAAAACAGTGAACTCAACAGTATCAGGTACTCAGATCCCAAATATTTACTTTACAAAGAGGGATGCTTAAAAACAGCCTAACAGTTTTGGCAAACATAAAATTTAAACCTGAAATAAAACTAAATCTGTTGTGTTCTTTATCTATTAGTTTATACATATTTGTCAAATATATCAAATACATATTTCATCAGTATGTTTAAGGTAAAGTTTTTTATGTCCTGTAATTGAATCTGTTCATCACAAATCTTGCTCTCTTGAAAAACAAAACAACAGACTTTAAAGGAGATGAGTCATTTAGTACACAATACACTCATTAACTAATAAACATCACAGCATCGCATTCCTGCCCCAATGGGCAATTACAAGTCCTGCCATAAGAAGCAAAAGCCAACATAACAGTTTTGATGTAACACAATAGATCTGTCAATAACACTACAGCATGTGCTGTCTGTCCACACTTAACAGCATAATTAAAATACATATTTTGCATCCAGTCCTTGCTTGCTTTATTTAAGTCACATCAGCTAACCACAGTTGTACATCAGGGCTCGGTGCTGGGCCCACTTCTCTTCTTAATACATGCAACCTCAATGGGCCCAATCATTCAGATTTTCTTATCACTACTATGGCAGTAACACGCTCTTCCCGTCATTTCAGTCGGACGACCCCATGGTACCCGGAAAATCTAAATTTGCCTTTCTGACAGATTGACCTAAATGAAATAACACCAATTTCAGCACAGTCTAATGAAGGCTAAGTCGTTTGTCATCCCAGACAGTCTGGAATTCAACACAACTTCATCAAACAGCTTAGTTTTACAACACTAACACCACTGAGGCCAGTAAGAACCTTCAGACATAAGTAAGTCAGATTTGTTTTCTTTTTTGAAAAAAAATAATTTTTTGTTCAGCAAGGATGCGTTAAATTGATCAAAATGGACAGTAAAGACTTTTACATTGTTACAAAAGAGTCATATTTCAAATGAATGAGGGAGAATAAGAGACTTTAAAAATCTTGAAAACATTAAAAATCATATAAACCTTTAAACAGTAGTGTACACTAAAATTACCTGGGACAAGTAAATAAAATATATATTTTTAATTTACTGGCTATTTGATTGAATATGTTTTGTGTAATGCTCTGATATTGATCCATTTTCAAGTGTCCAGATACTTTCTGGGCCTACTTTTACTGGCTGACCTATCTGGACAAGTTTGGAAATTTGTATTGCAGCGCATTATAGGTTGTAGCACTTCTCATTTATGTTGTAGAATTCCTAATTAGAAGTCACTTTGGATAAAAGCCTCTACTAAATTAATACATTTGTAAATGTAAATGCTCCTGATGGCCACAAACTGTAACCACACCTATGCAAACTGCCACACCCTTATTAATCCTTGCAATGAATATGCATTAAAACACAGTTGGACCATGCTTAAGTATTCATATGGGGTGTTGATATTGTAGCAGAGCTAACACTATTGCAGTAGATGTCATTGAAGCTTGGTCAATGAGGCTTTGTGTTGATTGCGACTGTTTTGTCACTGCCCAGGTCAATCGTGAGCACAGGAAAAGAGGTGAACTAATCCTAGAGAACTCAAAAAACACAGTCCTCCTGTCCAAATAGCTCCAAAGCTGTACATCAAGGCAGTGAAGCTCATTTTATTACACAATGGTATAAAAGTGGACAATGCGATGCTCTGGAATAATAAAGTCAATGGAAACCTCCACCCTTGAGGTGCAGTTAGCGAAATTTCAGTTTGCAAAAACAAACTGTCCGTTGTCAATAGTGTAATGATGTATGAAGCACAGATCACAAATAAGTCACTTTCAAACCAAGTAGCTTTCGTTTGTTAGCTCAGCAAATTCACTTGACTAAATTGAACATGAGTGAAATATGCATGGGGAACTTTTCACCCTCACGTAAAACTCCTGTTCATGTGGATTCCTATTGAAATGATTTCATCCACAAAATCTCATCAAGCAACAATGTGACCGCACCTTTAGAATAAAAAGGGAAAGACCCAGTCGAGACACAATCCATTATAAATCAAGGCAACAGAGCAAGTCAAGCAAAAATAACTCTTGAGGAAACGTGTGTGGCTTTACTAGGCCAGAACAATGGGACGAGAGGGCGGCTCAAGAAACAGCCTCATTCCGGAGGTCAGCGATGGCTACAGTAGAGGGAAACTAGCGATGACCCCCAAGGAGCTTGTGGAAGACTCGTGGCTTCCTGCCCTGGTTCATGCCTCCTGCGCCTCCTCCAGTGCGAAGAGGGGCTCTAGTGCACAGGATAGGGGTCGCAGGGCCAGAGAAGGTTGGGGGTCCAACGAGGGAAAGGTTCCTGTCCAGGGAAATCCTGTCTTTCAACCGCATCACATCGTGGTTCAGGACCCTCACTGTGTCTTCGGGCCCCTTAGGGACCGTTAGCTCAAAAATGCAGATAGTCTGACAAAGCAAGCCACACTTCCTTAACACTTTATGATTGAACTCGAGGTCACAGAAGAGCGTACGCCAGGAGCAGAAGCGTTTCCGAACTGCAGAATCAGGCCAAAGATCATCAACACCTTCAACATACACTTTTAAGAATAAAGGTTATTTATTGGCATTGATGGTTCCATGAAGATCCTTTAACATTCATGGAACCTTTCCATTGCACAAAAGGTTCTTTATAGTAGAAAACTGTTAAAATGTTCTTCACATAAAAAAAAAACTGAAAGGTACTTTGAGGAACCCAAAATGGCCCCCTTTTAGAAGCTTTATATTTAAGAGTGTAAGCAGCATCTTCAGACACCTGAGGTTCATCCTGCGTGAGAAGCGAGACTAAAGACTGAATATGGTGGGTTGTAGAGGCACGCCGGCGGTATGCATGATGCGATCGCACCGGATCTATGGGTGTGAGACCAGGAGGACTCATCCTCCCTGATGAACAAAGCATCCCTTCATGAGCGGCTCTATTCTCTCCATTGTGAGCGCTGGTTTTAGGGCCGTCTCAAGCTCTCCCTCTCTCAGGCCTGTCACTGGAGCTAAATGACTTCCCTGTCATCAGCTGAACCCACAGCCGGTTCAGCTGCAGGCATTCAGGCGAGCTGAGCTGACAGCTCGCTCGTGATCACAGAGGCTCACAGAGGCACATCTTAAATGGTATGCAGTAAATTAAATGAGGCTGAGCTACATTACGGCCTTAATGGGAAAACATTACCTGTCTGTCAGAACTAGAATGCCACATTGTCTAAAAGCAATGACACACTGAATATGTCTGTGTGTGTGTGTGCACCTGGTATACCCTACATTAAGTTTAGTAATACCAGTAAATTTAGACCTTTTTGGTCCCCATTTTTGGTCCCCATTAGGAAACAAATAATTTTATATTATTTTATCATCTTTTTCAAATAAATGTTGTTCTTTTACATTTCTTATTCATCAAAGAATCTCTTAATAATTGTATCACAGTTTCCACAAAATATTAAGCAGCAACTGTTTGAAACATTGACAATAATAATGATGATAATCATAATAAGAAATGTTTTTGAGCAGCAAATCAGTATATTAGAATGAAGACTGGAGTAATGATTCTGAAAATTCAGATTGGCATCACAGGAATAAATTACAAATAAATTATAAAAATGAGAATTGGGGAAAGAGTTTTCTTATTGTATTTTAAACATACATTTTGAGTTTTAAATCAGTAAACAAATGAAACAATTGTATTATCTCAATGGGCCATCTGGGGGCAGAAGCTCTAAACTAAACTTGAAGTGTCAAGACACACACGTTGATATAGGTGGTTTATGGGGACTCTCCATAGGCGTAATGGCTTTTATACTGTACAAACTGTATTTTCTATCGACACCAACCCTACACCTTAACCTACCCCTTACAGAAAACTGTGTGCATTTTTAGATTAAAATAATAATAATAATAATCATAAAAAAATTACAAAACAACATTTATTGTTTTTTAATCCTTTTGAATTATGGAGATAGGCAGTGTCCTCATAAACCACCCAGACACACACACACACACACACACACACACACACACACATTTCCGTTCTGACTCCTGATTAATGTGATTTGAGAATTTAATAGTGCATCAAATTACTTAATAGTTTTTTTTTTGGTTTGTGGTTTGTTGGTTTTACACTTGATCTTGTTGTCAGTACATTTATATAGTTTAGTTGAAGACTAGTCGTGTTTGAAATGTCTGGAATCAGAGTTTAATGTCCATTGAAACAGGATTCTGTTTAATGAATAAGAATATGTCCCTGTGCATGGCAAGAAAACATGAAATTTGTAAGCGTGTGTGGTTTGTGGTCAGTTCATCTTCTGCATCCGTTCTCACCGTTTCTGACCAATGTTTCAGTAAACAAGCTAATGGCTTTTATACCTCAAAAGTCGATATTGATCAAAATATGGCATCATGTGTATGTTGCTCACAAGTTCATATACTTAACTCGTCTTATTCTTGATTCCAATTTGGTCAGTGCTGAAAATGATTTTAATGATGTTGCAAAGT